AAGTTTAATAGCAAAATTACAGTGTCATTTTAAGGCTCCAGAATAGAATTTTAGCCAACTTCCGAACACAAGAGAACAGTGTCTGGTGGGAGCCTGTTAGAAGTTAGTTTAGTTTAACTGCACATCTCATTGGATTATATACAACTTAACAATAAGAGATAATGCAGATTTCATAACTAATAAATGGAATTTTACATGTTTTCTACAAAGTTCTACAAGCGAACAACACTATCACCATCCATCACCTAACACACTTTACAGCGTCAGGAGGGAAAGTGCCAGTCCCAATTCCAGCTGTCAACCAGAGAGGGCGGGGTAATCCCTGCACAGTCTGCCAGCCCATTTCAGGGCCACTTAAAGACACAAAAAACCATTCACACACCGATGAACCAGATCTCCAATGAGCAAGTGTTTTGGCCAGTTGGAATAAACTGGAGTAGTGAAGAAAAACAATCCACACACACATAGGGATAAGATGCAAACTATATACTTAGACTGACCGGGGATCGAACCAACAAACCCATGATCTTCTTACTGTGAAGTTGAGTGTTCTAACATTGCCCACTTAGGTGTTTGAGGAGCACACATTGAACCAATGTCTGCTTCATGTAGCAGACCACAGTAGGTATTCTGTAGTATTCATGATTTTTTCTAGATAGTAGTAAATTATTGAAGGAGAGGGATCATGGAGACATCCTTCTACTTCTACTGTTTGCAAGGATTAATCGAACCACTTCATCAGTGATCATGCGAAAGACATGATTCCATTAACAACACCAATCCCAATTGTAAATTTATCCGACAACGGTGACATGTGAATGGAAAAATCCACAAATGACTGTGTAAACAAAATGTAAGGGCAGTAATGGCCACATAATTCATGCAGGAATAAGCGTCAGGGCGTCGTTATTGCATTATTTACAGCACCATAAAGAGTCATGCTATCGATTTGAGAGCAGAAGCAGCTCACCAGTTATTCCTGTCATTGTCAATGTCATTAAAATGAAATATTGAACCGGCTTTTCTCCACGCCGCTTCTCCCGCTCCTAGACAGGAGTTTTCTCACTTTTATAAACAGGCTGGTTCTTCAGGAGTGGAAGAAAAAAACCTTCACACACTTGTTGCCCCTCTGCTTTTTTTACAGTGTGCAGTCACAGGTTATTGGTGAGTGATTATCACATGTCAGAGGTCTTGGTATCAACTTTACACTACTTTAAAGTGGCACAGAAATAAGAAATAATGTAAAAAAAAAACAAACAAAAAAACAACACAAGGTTACTGTGAATTTCCGAGAATTGAACATTGTAAAATGTCAAACCTGAATATTTGTACTATAGTAATTTCATTGAAACATACATTTACTGCAGTTCTGTTTGAAGCTCTAAATGATGATAAAGTACTCCTCTGTGACAACATCATAAGTGGTTGAAGCTTCTGTCAACTTATTTATTTGTCAACTGCTTAGTTAATAAGTTAGTAGTTTAGTTAGTCTGCTAGCATCTTTCAACAATCTACGTATACACTGGGAAATTTTGATTTGAACTATGAGGTGGCAACCATTTCTTGACCACATCATGCTACAAAGAGGACTTCCATATATATATTTATATATCTGCTTCTCTGTAAAATAACCTTAACCTAAAGGTGACTAAATCTGCAGATATTGTTGTCTTTTTTTCTATTGAGCTATTTTGTCTTTATCTCCTTTTTATAAGGATTCAAAAATATGTTTTCCTTTTAGTCCTAAAGGTCCTACCTTATTCTTCCAAACAACTTGATGAGTTGACAGAACTTCCTGTGCATAAAATTAGAAAACAATGTTCAACGTTCCTGAATAATCGTAAGTTCTGTTACAGCTTTAACTTCATCTCTCCCTGCTTGTCTCCATCTGTACACTTCATTCCCGCTGCTGTGGATTTGAACGCCCCGTCTCAAAGACGACCAACAAAACCATGACAGAGTTTCAGTTTTTACTTACAGCTGTTGAATACACAATTAAAAAAGGCTTCAAAAATGCTCAAACCAGTTGAGGTAGAGGAGGCTGAGTTTCTTTGTGGCCCACGTTTCTGCTGGAAATAATAACAACACAGTTGAGCTTCCTGTGCAGTAAAAGTGAGTTGTTTCCTGGAGACACTAAAGAGTTTGATGTTTGTTCATCTGGAACTTTAGTGCACAAAGGTGTTGACTGTGCCAGACTGCTCTGTTGTGGCAATAAACCCAGTCCACTCGACACCAACACACACACACCAACACACACACACACAGCCAGAACTCTAACTTATCTTCCACATGTGGGTCATCTGAATTTGTACCAGTTTCCAACTTAGTCTCCTCAGTCTGCTCTGTAGACTCACCAGAAGTAAATACTGATTGTGAACAGGAGACTTCTGCAGAAGAAGTCGGACTCTGTTGAGATTCCTAATGAGGAGTCATGAAAAAGCTTCATCTAATCTGGATTATTAATTCTCATCCTTCCCAGATTCAGCCCAGTCTGCTCATGAACCCCACTGCACAGTAAATATATACGTTTACATGTTTGGCTTGTAGTGAGATTTTTATCATTGTCAGGAATATTCCATTAAGACTGTTGCCCCCGCAACCCAGCTCCGGATAAGCAGACAATGATGGATGGATGTTTGTTGTTGCCATAGTGATTTTTTATACTGTAGCTAAGGAAGTAGAAAACTAAATGTACTCTGGTCGACTACGTCTGGACTTCCTATGATGTTGGCATGTACAGTATGTTAAAAAGGTTACAGAGACAATATATTGAAGATTCTATTCCCCTTCACAAAGAAAACAGAATAATGTGCAACAAAGAACTTAAGAGTCCGGTTGGTGCAGGTGAGTTTGGAAAGTGAAGCATAAGGTTTAAAATCGACGTTTATCTTATTTTACAAGAAAAAAGACACAAAGCTTTGGGGGGAAATCCTAAAATTCAGACCATAAATTGCCAATTAAAATGTTTGTTGACATTTATATGGATGCAGTCTATATTTTCACAAAAGCACAACAGTCAGTCTATTCAGTCTAAATGCTGCAACCATAATGTAATAACAAATGACCTTGTCCATCTCTTGTAAAGTCTCCTGTTTGTGAATTATACGGACAGAATCTTTGTCCTAATGCAGCAGGGAGTCAAAGCCAAGATTCTCAGTTGAGGTGAGGGGAAGCACAGGTCTGTAAAATAGTAGGTGCGGATTCCTAAAAGAATAAATACCCAACTCTCCTTCTCTCTCGGCAATTTTTTGTTTGGGCAAAATGACAGGAGAGAAAATCATAGCAGTGATGTACTGAGAGAACAATGTTTACTTTTATGTCTGCAGTCATTAGTCTCTCTGGGGTCCACTGCTGCTTTCACTCTCATCAGGTGAACATCAATGAGACTTTTTCTTTGAACAAGTGCAAACAGTAAAAGTCAATGCCTGTCTGTCCGCACAATAGCTTGTTTCCCTCTCCCCGCTCTGAGCTGCTCATGCTGAGATGGTAAGTGATAGTGTCTGCCCACTGAAGTGTCGACCACCAACTGCTGAGCTCGTCACCATGGGAGCATCAATCCACGTCGCTGTTTTATCAGCAGGGAGAATGCCATATTTCACTTGATTTCTAACTCTACCGTCACCTTGGATGTGTCGAAATCAAATGTGAAAGGAAAAGTGAAAAGAAAAAAACATTGGAGGGGAAGTTCTATCAAGTTTTTGTAGTGTATTTGGTGTTCCTTAAACTTTTGTATTAAAATGCAACCAGATGGAAAGGAACTGTTACCAACCAGAAATGTCTAGTCTTTTTCTTTAAAAACAACCTTTTTATTACCATTAAGCTAAAATGCTATGTTTACTTTAAGTGCAAGCAAAAAGACACATTTGTAGTGCGAAGCTCAGCCTTACACAATGTTTCTGACATAACAAAACACCCTGAAGACTTGGTTGTGGGTGATACAGGTCTGTCTGAATAGTGAACGTAATGACCCTGGAATAAACGAAGGAAGGAAAGTGAACTACTTGTCAATGTGACACAGCACACCACTGCATACAACCAAATGTGACCTCTGCTTTTTACCCATCGGATGGTGCCATGCTCAGAGCACCTCAGTGGTAAGAGGGGTAACTAACCCTAACAGGTGTTTTTTGGACAAACTGAAGTCTCTTACGTTTGCTGTTATTGGACAGCTTCAACTCTATTCATCCTAACCTGGACTGGTCCAGCTGAAATATTTGAGTATTTTACTCTAAATCCAAAACCATTAAATGATTGGCTGGTTTCTATTTTAATGACTCAAGAGTGAACTGCTGGCTGTAAAGTTGAGAATTTGTTATAGAAGGTGTAGAAAAATAAAAAAAATAAAAAATTATGGACAGAAGTTACCCAGGAGTTCGGTGCATTGCACTGAGACGACTGGAGGCACATGATTTAGTAGATGTGTGGAGAAGAGTGAATGGTGATAAAAGACAATATACTTGGACTCATGCTAGAGGGAATTTAATATCCCCGGCTAAGTGAGAGCAGTTTTATTGTCTATAACATATTGTCTATATTTAAAAAAAGTGAAAAATATTGCCAGCTATGCTGATAGCAAACCTCCATATTATATGATCTTCCACTTTATTGATCCTGAAATTATAACTTAGACTGTGGCATATTTAAGTAGAGGAAATAAATTTCAACTCCTAGTTGGACTGAAGCCTTGTAGGTTTTTATCTGCTCTGTCAGCAGTCACAGAGCCCAATTATCTGATCTATGAGGAGTCAATAAAACCTCTGAACTGCTTTCAATAGAAATTAGGAAAAGGATGAAATTAGTCCTCAATCAGGAGAATTTGAAGTTTGGGAATTGTTGCAAATTAAAGGTTGGTTAGCTTAATGTGAAAAAAAAGAATCACCTGTTACAGATAAACTATAAAAAATAAACAGTGCATCTCATATTGAATCACTTTAACATTATGTGTAATCATTGGGAGGAGGGGCAGTTTTCAGTGTATAGTGTTATGAAGGAGGCCTCACCAACAAACACGTCCTATTTTCTTGATGTAACAGCGATGATGATGATCAGGATCATGAGGATGACTGATCCCACCACCAGCAGGTAGCACTTTCTCTTCCTTAGCTTTCTCTGTAAGGATAAAAAAATATTAACATGTTATGAAATGTAATATATTGTCTTTATATGTTTTTAAGTTCATTCTACAATTTTATTAAAACCGCTGTCAGGCTGCTGAATGTTCACAAAATTAACAAAGTCAAAAATGTCCAGAATTTCTAACAGTTGCACAAAATGCTTAAAATGTAGCTGAATAAAATTGACAATAGGTTGAACAAAAACCCACGGAAACCAATTTAACCTTAAACCTTGAACATTAGGCTAAAAATACATGCAAACGTTTTCCTTAACAATAACCAAAATATTAACTGGCAGCTAAAATCTCAGCTCTATAGCTTTACTTTATCCTACAGATAGACAAGGTAGAGGTAACCAAGACAAAAGCTATAGATTAGCCAAGGAGAATGCTAAAGCTTAGCCTAAATTTAGCTTGGATAGCTGATCATGCCAAAAACATTACTAAAATTATTTGAAAATACCAAAGGTTATATATGAGGATGGTAAAAACAGATTTGGTCAGCTGTACTCAATCAATATCCCAATGGTAGCCTAACGTTAGCACAGAGTGACCTTTAAGAAAAAGGCACTGTGTGACATAAAGTCAACCAAATGCATCAAAATCACACTTTTAACATGACCCTGGTGTTTGGGTCAGAGGACATTCACACTGAGAGCCTCCTGACTTCCTGAAACCTGTTGTTCAAACTTTGCAGTAAAACAGTGTCAGATGAAACAAGTCAAATGACTGACGGGATCGTCTACTCAATATTCTGTGGAGGAAATAACATTTACATGAAAAGCTGAAGATCGCTGATCTTTAAAACCAGAACTCTGTCAATTCTCTTTTTCTTTTTCGATGGAACGATGATTATTGGTCTTGAATGTTTTTTAAGAAAAAAAAAATCCTTTAATTTCCAATATCCTGGGTGCTTTACTTTAGAAAAACGCTTAGAAACATTCATCCTCACAGCATGAAAGTTTAATTTTGTGCCAATTATTTACCACATTTTTTACAAAGAGGAAAAAGTGTGAGGAGTGGAAATATTAAAGTAAACAGAGTGAAGAGCAATGGGTTGAGGGGATATTTATTTATTTCCTCGTCTCCTCAGGCGGCGGTGATGTGTCGGAGCACAGAATCTATGTTGTTCTGAAATGCTTTTTCTCTCGCTTTTATTATTATTTTTTTTTCAGCCTGTTTCCTGCTACAAAGGCTGCGAGAGCGGCAGCGTTAGACCAGAGCCGGGGCTGGAGTCTTTAAATCCTGGCGCGCTTCAAAGCACGCAGAGAGCAATTCATCTTCTTATCTGAGCCTCAAAACGGGCTTTCTGTATGGAAGAGAGAGGCAGAGGGGAAGAGGGAGAGGGGTGGGGAAAAAAATGCTGTCGAGTAATTTTCCGTTTAAACGTTCCACTCCACAACAATTTGCATAAGCAGCCCTGCGTCTGTGATAAGAAGATTGGTAATTTTCAAAGGCTCTGTGGGGATTGAGAATTAAAAGCCTTTCTGTGCTATCTCCCCTCTTGCAGCTGGCCACCGCAGATTCCCCAGCTTCTCTCACACACATTTCCTACTAAACTACGCCTTATAAACTTTCTCGGCTCCTTCTCTCTGCTCGCTCTGACAGTGCTGAGTCGTTCCCTCTCCCCTACACGTCTTCACTCTCTCCTTACTGTCGCTCTTGCTTCATCATGCAACAGCAATGCAGTCATTTTGGGGAAAGACGAGGGAAATAAATAGGTAAAATGGGAAAAAAGAGACGCTTTGGTTTAACAAAGGGCGTGTTTGGGTATTTTTAACCTAGAAAATTCCAAATCTAGAGAGAGGGAGGGAGAGAGAGTGGTGCCTGAGTCTGGAGGAGAAGGAAGGAGTGATGCAGCCATCTTCACTGACTCCATTTGTGATGGAATTGTCTTACATAACAGTCATTTGGAGTCTGCAGAAGCTGGAAGCTTTCCAGAGAAAGTTGTCTCTTGTTCTGTTTGTTTTTGATACCAAATATAAAGGCAATGGTTGAACTGTTGTAAAACTGTCTAAACAATATAATTACTTAATCTGCAGTTTAGCTTTTGACAAAAACCCTTTAACAAACACACTTTGAATCAGAGTTGGTTTAATTGCATGCAGTGATGAATCATGGGAGACATTTTCTATTTTATTTTCAAAATCCTGGGTCCTTTACTTAAGAAAAAACTCTTGCAAACTCTCACTGTCACAGCGTGACATGTCACTTCAACAGGTGAACTGACAGTTTGTGAATCGAAGTTATGGTTTTATGTGGAAGGATCATGGAACACTTTGCTCGAGGTGTTATCTTAATGTTGACTATACAAACAAATGTTTTCATCAGCACAAACTCAGAAGTTTTCTTTCACCTGGTTCTGCAGTGTTTTACAGTGAGCACAGCTCTGTGAATACACCCTGTATTAGCATGTTTGTCCTGCCTGCAGTCCAGATCTGTCTTATTTATAAATAAAATTACATTCCCCTTATTTTATATGCATATATTAAAAAATCATAGCATTTTTGTTAGTTGTCACTGACTCGACTTCACATCCTGTATACTAACTGCACGTGCCATCTTTAATATTATAGTTGTTGTTTTTTTACCCAATAAAACACCTGTGTGAGCATTGCTCTCTCTGCTTTCATTTCATTGTTTTTCTTGTCTTTTTCGTCCTTGGCGCAGTTTTCTTAGAAAAATGAAATCTCAATTTATGGCACAAAGGGGGTGTGTTATGTCGTAGCCAAAACAATGAAGACAATACACAGGAGCTATTATGGCTGTTCTTTTTACCCGCAGTGACACATAACAACACTGGCTTTGAGGAAAAATACCTCCGTCATTACTGCTCTGCTGTTTGAGTCAGAACAATAGTTTTTACATCCTATGAAATGTTCGTTTGTTTGTGTCTGGGAAATGTCACAATAGTTGAAGAGAAAAAGCCCACACACGCATTCACCTTTCAAAACTGAGCGGAACAGCTGGATCTCAGCAGGTTTGCATCAAAACAATTACGTTTTCTTAGATGTGCAGTTTAGAATCAAGGCACATTTAATTTGTTTTACTTTCTGAGCAAAAAAAGTTTGTGTTCAAACATTTTAATTTTAGATTTTGTCAAGTGGAACCAAATCCACTGAGCAGCATTTGCGTATCTTCTCATTCTTCTTCAACAGGGTTGGGCACCTACAGACTGCGAAAATGAAGACAAAAATCAGAGCTGCTTCAATCTTCAATGTTTTTAATTATAGAAAAAAAATCTGGGATACTTGAAATCCTTTTAACAGGAGCGGTAGATCGGGTCTTCCCTGGCTGGAGGTATTAATCATTTCTGACAGAAAACACTGCTCTCAGGTAGTAAGTCTTTCGACCATTACACATTTGGCAGTCAACCCAAGTCAATGTACATTAAAGCCAACGGAGCTAAATCACTGACAATGAGCTGAGCTGAAGCCCAGGGATCATCAAAACAGTCTTCTTCGCCTTTTCTCTGAATATTAGACCGCTTCATTTTTCAACTCTAAAACCATCAGTGACAGAGAGTCAGTACAATTTATTATAATTTCTAATCAGAACTATTTAGTAAAGGTTGCTTCGATGCCTTAGTTCACAGCATTGAGTTTGTGCTGCTGTTTGAACATGAAAACCACTGTGACCGTTTACCTCTTAGAATCAACCTTTAAATATAATCTTCAAACCTTCAACCCTTGAAAATATGAAGAAAATCTCACGTATGTCTTAGCTACGTTTTAGCTAATTTTGTGATCTTAATGCCATTTTTAGCTACATGTAAAAAAACCCTCATCACTAGGCATTATCGCTGTCATCCTGGCGTGGATTAACTGTTCTGATGTTGTGATAGCAATGTCACATATTGCCGTGTGATCAGGCTCCTCCTAGATAACCCTGCTGTCAATCATTACATTGACCAGTCGTCTTCATCCCCCCTCAGACCCTCACTCCTGAATTTTCTATCCTCTTTTCTGGATCTTACAACTGCATAGAACAGGAAGAAAGAAATTTGGGATTAAATCTTGAAAAAGATCAAAAATATTGACCAATAAAAATATTGAGAACAAGAATTTGTTTCCAGGCTTCAAGTCAAAATTTCACTAAAGTTTCTAATATAGTTGCACTAAGGTCAACAATTTCCCATTATTATTAGCCTTCTTTTCTACCTTCATGAAGAAATAATCCACAGATATGGAAGTCAGCAGCGTATTTCTCTCAGCGTTCCCAACAGGAATACCTCAGATATTCTTAAATCAAATGTTCAATTTAATCATTGTTTTTTTTAATGTCAGAAAAACTGAGATGCAAAATCATACTTTGCAACACCCCCCCACCATCCAATCTCATCTCTGTCAGACTTACTTATTAAGGATTTTAGCAATGCTCTGCTAATACAACGACGACGACAACATTACAAAATAACAGCATTTACATTTTAGCCTGTCCTTATCTGATCTGATTAAGGGGAATTGGAAGTCCATAAAATAAATCATGTTTACAGTAAAACTGCCAAGGTTTTAATCGGCTTATGGAGAATTTACATAAAAGCATAGCCTCAGTCAGTCGAGCCCTGATTATGATACTTAAGACCAGCAACAAATAAACACAAACAATCCTGGAGGAAATGCTGCCACAGCTATTGTCATTAATGGAACAAAACCAACGACCCGTATCTGCAGCAGGACTTTAAAAGCCACGGATATGATTTGGGTGGGTTTTTAGGTTAACACACACCTTCGCCTAGTTTATTATTTGGGAAGTTTGTTGCCCATCTCACAGCTATGGGACTGGAGTCATCACGAGTCTTAACCAATCAGAACATTTGTTGAACTATGGATATGTTTACTATAACCATTGCAAGGACAAAAACTAACAGCAGGGGTTCAGATTACATTATATTGATGTCTAGGTGTGTGGTCCATGTCCTGGAAGTGGCCCGCGGGCCAGGAGTTTGAGAGCCTTGGTTTACACAGATGAATAAATCAATGAAGTAAGAAGCTAA